TGGTTTCTAATTTTTTTTAACTTTTTTATTCTCTTTTAATAATAATAATAATAATAATGATAATGATAAAAGAATAACTCAAATAACTTGCTCCTGATGCTCAGAAACTGTGAGACAATGCTCAAGACATTTGTTTGGCTTGCAGTGGTGGTCCATGCCTTTATCCCCAGAAGGTAAGGTAGGACGAGGATCACCCCACATTCTAGGCCAGTGATGGCTAAGTGCATTCGAGGTCAGCCTGAACCAACCTGTCTAAAAAAAAAGGAAAAAAAATTCTATTCTATTCTATTCTATTCTATTCTATTCTATTCTATTCTATTGGGGTGGGAAGAACCTGGGATTGAACTCAGGCCCTTGTACTTGCCAGGCAAGCGCTTATTGCACTGAGCTATCTCCCTAGCCCAAAAACCTGTTTTTAAACTGTCTTTAAAAAAAATCAGATTCGACCTAGAGCTCAGTGTGTGAGCAGAACCACTTGGGGGCCCGCCAAATCTTCATTCGACCCAGAACCCAGGCCCAGTGTGTGAGTGAGACCACCTGGGACCCACAGGATCTTCATTCAACCCAAAGCCCAGGCCTAGTGTGTGAGACTTCCCCGGCTGAATGGATCTTGATTCGACCCAGGCCTGGCATGTGAGTGAGAATACACAGGGCCCACCAGATCCTCATTCAATCCAGAGCCTGGCATGTGAGTGAGTCCACCTGGAGCATGCCAGATCCATATTCAACTCAGAGCCCAGGCCTGGTGTACAGCCCCAGTGTGAAACCCTGCAGCAGAACTCCCAGTAAAGAGGCTAGAGGCAAGACCCATCTAGCTGATCCAATAGCAGAACATCTTGCCAGAGTAGCACAGAGGGTTTACCTCAAAGGGCTGCAGCATGAAAAAGTGGAGCACAGCAACCAACTCAAGCCACACCCACATGGACGAGTTGGAACTTGATAGATCTGGACCTGGTACTAAGGTAATAACTCTATTTAAGCTCTACACCAAAGGTCAGAAGACAGTGCTATACAAAATGACAAAGAGAAGAAGCAAAATGTAATCTCAGGCCCCAAGCCCACCCAGAACAATTGCAGGAGACACTAGCATAAAAGAAATTGGAAATC